GTAAAAAGGGGAATGTCGTTTTGGTAGAAAACACGAACATCCATCCTGGCCTGGGAGTCATCTTTACGATAAGAGCACGAATCCAAAATGCAACTCCACAACCGGATTTTTTTCGGCATGAAAAAGTAGACATTCTTGTGATTTAAACCGTAATACTTTCCATAGAGTAATGCAAACTATCTTTACTTCAAGTTTGAAGGTATGTATATCCCGTAAGTAAATACTCACATAACTAATACATTTATCAGTTGTCTGAGGTAAAAGCTGTCATGATGGCTAAATAATTATTTAACTGTTTATTCGCGGCCAAATTCGAAGAAAAGTTTTTTTTTGCGTTTTTACGGAAACTAATTTTTGACTATCATAACTATTGAAGATGTCATCATTTATCACTTTTTTTAACAAATTACACAATCCATTTGCCACAAAATGGGATAAAATATGATGTTTAATGGACGTTTATGGGAGCCGTTGACGAAATTCATGAAATTTAGTTCATAAAATTCAACGAGTATATATATATATACGTAGTCTCTGATTAAAAAAAAATATTTACAGAAGTCAGGCATAATTAGTTCGTTTGTCACAGACATGTTGCTCTACTTGTTGCAGTGCATTGTTTTTTAGTTAAAACAACTGATTGAGCGTATATTCGGAGTTTGCCCCTAATTCGAATTCATTTGAACAGGGAGTACAGCCCATATGTTAAATGGCCTGAAAACGAGAATGCCCCCCCCCCATATATGCTGAATCTCTTGGACACGAGAATGAACCCCCTCTAGACCCATATGTTGAATGCCTTGAAAATGAATCGATACAGATGTGAGAGAGTATTACTCAGTTTTGACTATGACACCGCATATACTACTAAATGGTATAAAAACTTATTCAAGAAAAGCTAAAGACTATCTTTCTTTACTTAAAACTCACACTGCTTTATACACCACTATAATGTTATTTGTCAACGCTTAATAACAAATTATCCAAAAGATATAATGTAATATTCCAAACATACTTGACTGTATGATCTGACTCAGTCAATACACCCCCCCCCCCGTAAATGGCGCTGTGCACATCTCAAAGTAAAGACTATTTGTATGTCGCACAGTTTCAATCACAAAGATCTATTTATTTTTTCACGGTGGTAAATATTTTCAGGAGATGCTATATACATATATTTATGTGTGTTTGTATAGTGTATGCGTATGCGAAATTATTTTACGTGATTTCAATTTTAAGTTAAAGGGTGGTTGTCGTCGCGCCACGCATGTGCGTGATATATGGGTCTCTTATAAACAATGATGACTACTTTGACTGTTGCGCAAATCAACGAGTACAAACTGAGACGTCACCATGCTTCAATTGGTAATTTTTAGGTGATTGGAAGGTATCGAAGGAGTCTCCGGCGTTAATTAGTGCAAGACGCGCTCAGGTCAAACCTCTTACTTGTATTGCATTGTGGGAAAATCAATGTTTATCAACACAAATGTCGCACATGCGCAGCGCGATGACCAGCGCCCTTTAATAAATAACCATTTTCCTTACGTGAAATGTGTATAGATGAAAACCAAAATAAAACGATTCAATTTCTGTTCTAGCTAAAGTATATCATGTTCTATCACATATACTCTACTTGAATATGTGTTAAAATAAAATGTAATAAAACAAAGTTAGATCGTAAGGGTTCCATACTTCTGAATTCTATTAAGTCTCATTTCGTCAAAAACTAGTTTAGATGGAAAAGGCAATGTATAACGTAAGATGTATTGTGCGAGAGTATAATCACGTGTTAACCCGTTGATGTCATCCGCTCGTACTGAATGTCGTGTTTTCGCGGAATAACAAATTAAAAAACTTACAAAAACATAAAAAGTGAAACGTTACAGCTAAAGCCTGTACAACCATATTTTATTCAAATCGGGTGAAAAGATGCTTTCTCGTGAATGGTCGATCGTCAGTTGACAAGAGTTACAACTTAAGGAGCTCGGAAAACACTACCGTCATCTCAAGGCTGTTGACTACCATTACAATCTATCGCCAGATTTCTTTGACTTTTACCATATATAATAACCGAACTACTTTTCACCTTAAAATGTGTCAAATGACGATATTTTCAGCGATATAATGTTGGTTGCTATGGCAACAATTATTCGCCGTTGGGGTACATGGTGTGAAAACACTATACGTAATTATAAGAAGGTTGTCCCGAATTATTGGCAAACGCTGAAGTACTATTTATTTTTCGTGAAATAATACATTAATATGTCATTGAATGGAAATAGTTCCAAAAATTACATTTTTGCATGTTTCCAGAAAGCTTTTCTCTCACTCAATGAATCATGTCTATATCAACAATTATGTAACACTCGGAAGAAGAACGTGGTAATTTGTTTCGCCCTTATTTAATAGGTCGAATGCCCGCGAACGACTTTAACGTTCATAGAGAAAAACTAGTGTAAAATTGATTTGTCTGGACAACTGTGAAATTACCATTTACGAATCAATTACATAGCTAAAATAAATGAAGAGCTTGTGTAGCATTGAGATCGTGGATAGGCACTTAGAACTCAGAATACCTTGGTCAATTAAAGCATATATGTGTGTTATCATGTTATTCATTGAAATAGAGACATGTTGCAGGTTGTTGCACCAATACGTTGCATGGCGGGATTGCATAACATATGAATCATTTGTTGATCTGCATATCATTTAATGTGGAACAGTCGTCGTGACGTGTCATGTTCGATATGGTCACCATACGACCTATTCTCGGGGGCGGTGCTACGTCACAGAATGATGTTCTATGTTGCTAAGACGCGCACCACTTTACCGCGTATTTCTATGGGCTCTGCGCGAACTGCTGTGGAACACCGCATGCAACAGCCGGTGAAAACAGATAAAGTCGAGGAAACCGCACAAACCCAACATTGAAGTAATCCTGAAAAACCAAATATATATATGTTGCACATGCAGGGATAATCTAGTTGGTACACAGTTTTGAAAAGTCCCAACAACTATTCCAAAGTACAGTTTCTGAGCGTTTTACCTTTCAAGTTTGTTTTCACCGTGATGGTTGCCTGGCGCTGAAAATGCCCGGATATCCGCCCGAGAATACAATGCATGTAAATTATATTGTTTGTTTAAGTGAATTTCGAACGCACGTGCCGCGTGACATCTGTGTCACTTTAATTTTACTCTGACGTGGAAAAGAATGGCGGGATGAAGAAATTCAAAGCGAAAAACAGAGATTCCATTAGCTGTTCGGATATGGTTTGTTGCTGGGTGATTAGATCCGCTTGTATAGATGTACACGTTAGACACTGAAGTGAAGTAAAGAGTCAAGGTCAACCCCGGAGCTCCTAAATTAGTCGTCAGCGTACCGGTGAACTCTATGCGATTACCGATCTGTAGCGATAAAGCCGTGTGTCGGAAGGAATGACTGGCCACGATATTAATTACGCTCGATTTACCATCAGTCGATTTCATTTTGGCACTTATTTGAAAAGTCAACGTGTCGTACTTAGACATGTGACAATCACGACCGGAAATTTGTTTGATTTCACATAATTTATTCGTGCCATTTTCGGTAGCGTTTTCTGTTGTGTTGCATTCTGGGTACGGGTCGCCATAGACGCAGCTTAGCCAATTAGAAAGTGTGGCGGGGAACACGTTGAGGGCGGCCTCTGCTTTGTTGTCTACGGCTGATATTTTAACGCCAGTGACGTTGCCCTGCCACGTGACCCACTGGCCGGTTAAATGATCACAGACGATTTGTGTGTTTGCCACAGTACTCTTGCCTGTGACAGGTCCGCAAAGATTATAGTACTGTTGCCAAGACATCTTGGACGCGCCTGATTTGAATTGAGTTATTCCAACGTAAACAGCAGGGAAAAGTGACAATATCCCGGCTACAACTAACGCCGAGGTGACAGCTTTCTTGCTCAGTTTGAATGGCAGACCTTTACTGAGATATATAGGTAAAAGTAAGACTACTCCAAGAAGTATTAATGAGATTAAAATTTTCAGACCTGATCCTGTGATGAAAACAACTTTTATAACCCAAATAGCTAACCAAACAATCGTAATAAGCACCATTATAGGAGCAATGAAAACCATGGCCCACCAACCAAACAAACCTCTCATTAACCCATATATGGACGACTGCGAGTAACACGTGACTGCTATCTGGAGCCACATCACGCATATTAAATGAGGTATCAAAATCTGTAACCCGTCACGCCACGACTTGCGCAGTAGTACGTTGATAAACAGAGCGGGAGGTATGAGATGGAGAGCGGTCAGAACGGTTAGATGGACGTGAAGCGACTCCATCAAGCTGATGGTGTATCCGTTGTTCAGATTATTCGCAATGCTCAACATAACGCCTTGTGACGAGCTCTGTACAACGGAGCTTTGAACTGCGGTGACGACCTGTACACAGAGCGACACTAACGTGATATGGTCTTCGGAGTCGCCTAAGCCGATATAGGACGACATTGTGAGGAACAGTGATATAATAGTGAACTCAGAATACGGTAGCCAGTCGGTATCCACCAGGGAAAAACTGAAAACAAATGACAACAAGGCGGCCAGAAAACTGAAATAAGGCTTGAGCGTAGTCCAATCAAAATACGACTCGGTCTGGTCCTTGTCTAGTGCTCTATAATGGTCGCTTAGCATCTGCGACCACGATTTCAAATTAATTTGTTTCCTTTTACCCTGAAACATCTGAAGCGTGCAGACTATTAGAGAAAAGAATGAGAGGTACTGTAAAAATATGGGAACAACAAATAAAATGGTATCTAATGTACACACACTGTACAGGAAGATTAACAGTAAGGTTTGGATCTGTGCAGTGGGGACCATGTTACGCAGCCATGACAAGCCTTTGTTTGATACGGTGTCGATGACGTAACTAGCGGCTAATTTCATTGAATAACCAGGATATTTGAGAACCTATGGGACAGAAAAAAAAATAGTTTAAGTGGTTAAGTGAGATTGCTTTATCGTGTTGTCAAAAGGTTACTACTTGTGAAACTATAAAAACAAAAGTAAAAAAACTAGTTACAACGAACGACAGAGGGCACTAAACATTGAATAATGTGTATAGTTTGTATAGTTTAATACATATGGTATTATGTCAAAAGAAAAAGTAAAATAATAGTTACAAGAAATGACAGAGGGAGCTAATAATTGAACAATCTGTATAAATTTACCTTCTGTATCGCCGTGGCTTTCTCATACTCCTCTGGGTCAATATTTGTATCGAAATCACCGATATCAGACAAATTTGACAGCTCTTTTGGAAGTATTCCTTCAGCTAGGTCAACCGCCTTGCCAATGAATGCATCTTCACTCAGCTCCTCACCTAGTAACAATAATAACACAATAAGAGTTACATCAACTATCAGAGGTACAGAGATTTCTTAATATTTAACACAATTCAACGGAAATGTGCTGCCATAGAGTTATGCATTTTAACTGGACGCATTAATCAAGGTATTATAACACATCGAGCAAATATTTCAAATTAAGTTCTGTGAGCTAAGATCAGCACCGACTGTGTACTGTATGTCTATTTGTCTCAAAAGTGTAACGAGTCGTATGCAAATGATTTAGCTGACTAAAGTTTAATAAAATAATGATTATTTCTAATAAAACCTATTAAGCACTTTTGGTTATGTCAAATTTAAAATTGTCATTATTTCTGTTGGTGAAATCCTATGAGAATTATACGAACGAATCATACCAAGTAACATACATAGGTAAGAATGGCGGCACACGCCGTCGGCGTACAAAAATGTACAAAACGATACAAAATTGTAAAAATATCAATAGTTTCTTACCCAGTACATATATATTTTATTTTATGTGGCCCACATTTTGTGCATGTTTCAAAACAGTTTTACATAGCTGCAAACCAGACCGTGTAAACTCTGAAAGTAGTCCGGTACCATATCTCATATCATAATTTATGAAATTAATTTTACCACAGTGTGACGTCACACATAGGCGATAACGTGTCTACGTGTATGATAATTATACTTATCGCCCTATATATTCCAAGGATAATGTATACCTTTATCGATTAGTTTCTCCATAATCCTGATTTCCCTCAATTTACTTGCAGACATCGCGGCGCCTGATATAGCGTTACGTAACGATTCTTTGGTCAACACTGTTTCATTCTCTGGTAACAGTGAGTGGAAGAAAGACTTGGCAGCGTCGGCTATACCGCCCCCTGAGTCAATCTCGTCGTTCTCCGTTGTATCGTCCTCTGTGTTAGTACTGACGTCACCTACAGTGTCTGTTGTGGTATCCGGGGGTGCATTGTTAGAAACGTTTCCTTCATCTGTGGTGATAGCTCGAGAATTGTCGCCTGATTGTTCCGTATCGAGAACAGTGATTGGTGGGGATTCCTTTCCACCGAGAACTTCAACGCTTTGGGTCGGCGCATCTGGTTGTTCTGCGCCGTCGTTTACGGACTTGGACAGAGGTGTAGGCATAGAGCCGTCGTCTGCTTCCACGTTTTGCATTCTATTATCTTCTTCTCTTTTTTCTGAACAAAACAATAGAAAGAAATTGTTATGTTACACGATTAATAGTTAACAGACTTAAACTAGGTTCGACACGCCGTGACCTCTCAACTAAAGGTTAATCAGCTATATTTATTTATTATTTATTTAATAGTACAGTTGTTGTGTGTGTTATTTGAATCTCGTGTGTTGCGTGTTTATAGTAATTCAAGTTTGTCTGTATATACTAAGACTAGTATGAGGTCTATACTATCTGTAGCCTCCCAGAGTCTACACTAAAGTCAACATCCCCATTTTGTATAACATCGTTTAAATTTGCATATTCACTTTGTATTATATGCAGAACACATCTCACTTAGAATTGTGATCAACATGAAAAATTATTATATCAGTTGTTTTGGCAAGAATTCTGAAATATTGGAGTATTGGAGAACTCAGGCTGAACTTGCACTGAAACGTCGTGGTGTCTAATTACCAACTGAAACACTGATGAAACATAATCATTCAAGGCAACTTTACTTCATTTTACTGAATTGTTCGAGTTACGGACATCGAGCTACGAAAACATCGAGTTACGAAAATGACCACCATAATTTAGGAACCACGCCCACTTTTGCTTTTCAGGGTTCTGTTGGATCATGGGGGTAATGGTTGGATAATATTTTTCATGAACCGCGCTTAACCCACATCCCTAAGACCTGGTCGGTGAGAGGTTTGAAACAGATCATACATTGAATGGAAATGCATGTAAGTGTGTGTGTGTGTGGGGGGGGGGGGATATGTCGACAAACAAGCTGCTCTCTTATTGGTCTGACTGTTGGGTGTTTAGGGCAGGCACACTTCGCATTGACTCAATAGCACCAAGCATTTTGCACGAATCAGTGTTCTCTCACTTTTGTAAATATTGTCTCGCGGGTTCAGAACAAGGTCATACTTGTCATGTTTTCTGCATAGGCTTACAAAGAAATGAGATACGACAATAGCAAGGTACGGACAGAAATGTCAGTCATACAAAAAGCAACTATCAAATACAAAGCGATCGAACACCTAAGACTGTGGTTCGACAACCGACATTATCGGCAAACCTGGAACTATGACCCGCAGCTTTGTGGACGAGACATTGTTTATATATATATATTGCCTCAGCAAAGCGAGTATTATGTGTCAGTAACCCGGTCAACATTACTGGGTAGTTCTATTTTTAGAAGTGATAACACATGTTTTTAATTTGAATATGTTACTAATTGATGCCGCACTGGATGACCTGAAAAAGATTACATAGTCAGAGAGGGACGGCGAAAGATATAATTTAAATTTCAACTGATATGAGTTTTTATTTAATTGACGTAATGTAATAACGTCATGCGATTTCTCGCTGCTGTAAAACTTCAACAGAAATATCATCAATACATTTTCGTGAAATATGTTTAACCGTAAAATTGAGTGATTTTTGTGTGTGTAGATGTATGCTGTTGATGTAAATTGAACCATGTAGGTATTGAGTCGACGATTGCACAATGAGAGGCATACGTCAGCATACATGAATTACGTGTATAGTTCAGGGTAACATTGCGTGAATGTAGTTTCGTCCTACTAGACGAACCACAATACCTACTACAATACCTGATTGAGGTTCTGCATCGAACTCTTTCCCGCCCTCTTCTGCCGTTTCTTCCACAAGTCGCCTTTTCTCGGCACCCGATGCGTCCGATGTTTCGTCCATCTTGTTGTGTCTCTGTAAACGTCCGAATTCCTAACATACCATGGGTACCAAGGCCGTAACTTACGTCAAGTTGACCTTTGTACCGACCTTTCACCCAAGTACATAAATCTCAACGTTTTACTAATTTTTAACGCTGATTTCGCCTCACATCCGGGTTCCACATCTTCCTGATTACATCACTTGTATCTAAATGGTGCTATAATCTGAATTACGTGTTGCCATCCATTTACATTGGCTACTCTAGTAGTCAATACTCATTATTAACAAAAATAATGGCAGTAGGGACAATTTCGTATCAAAGTTTCTGAAATGTGAACTTCTCTATTAAAATGAGCATCATTTTAAAAATATTCACGACTAACACACTTTTAGGAATAATTTTTCAGAAATGTTGCCAAATTATAATTTGTGCACGTGGTTGGCTGTTTTAATGTGCAAAGAAAAACAACAACTTGGAGTATCTGAATTTCATTCCAAAATGACCGTCTAAATAGGAATTAACGCAACTAGGAAATCGCAAGTCGGCGTTTCGTGGAAACAAGTTTGAAGGGGCGGTGGTCTTCGCGCAGCTCACGTTCGCAGTTCATCATGTAAACAGTGTATTTTAAACGCGTGTTTACGTCGCTATGAATCCCACATCGAACACGACGCGGCGCAACAGCCACCCCAATTTTATATTTGCTCTTTAAATCACAGGCGCCCGGAACGTTTCTTGGCTAATAAAAAATGACCTAAAGTGGGATCGGCATAGTTAATCAGTCGCCGGTACATTCCCCTACTACTCATATAATAACACAAGGTAGGAAAGCGTTGACACCATGACATCGAAACTTCCCGAAAATAACACGATTTTCCAAATTATATTTCGATCCGCTTCACACAACTCAGGCATGATATCGGTAGAAACTATCGATCGACTTACATTTCCTTTATTCGAACTAAAACGGGTTAAATCCTGTGAAAATCGAAACACCAGAGCAATATGAATCAACCCATCTACGCGGATATTTTGAAGCAGAGGCCCGAGCATGCGTAAATGTTTGGAACTGCGCATGTTTGGAACTGCGCATGCTCGAGCCTCTGGGGCGGTGGTCGTTACGCCGCGTCCTGATCGATATGGGACTCACAGCGACGTATACAACGCGTTTAAAATGCATAGTTTGTTCAAAGTTGGTCGTTTATTTGATAAAACCTTTCGCTCAGTAAAATCAGGATTTCCACATTATTATCTAGTTAACTACTAATGAAAACAAAAATGAATCCTTGCAATGAAAAGTCTCTGTGCCGTTTCTTTTATTCTTCAGAATTGGATCACACGCCGTATAAACAAATCAATAAAATTCACGAGTAATTTCGTTCTAAATAATGTTCTAGTAATAAAATCTAGAAATCGTTCCAAGGTGGCACGTTAACATTCAATCAACAACAAAAACCCAAAACAAAAAAAACCCACTGTATTGTTGACTTTTCCAAAGCAGCGTAGTGGGTTTGTAAGGATGCTGGTCATAACAATTGCATGTCAATGATCGTCACGGCATGTTAATTCATAGTCACGTGATCAATCTGGCCATTGCCGCCCAGACCACAATTAAACTTCACAAATACGCCAATGTAAACCTTGAACAGGGACTATTTTAATGCACATAGACACAAGTACCCCTAATCAAAACAATGATAAACAATGCCACCGTGTTTCTAATGAAGCCGTTTCAACAACAATGGTACAAACAGATTGGAATAGTACTGCAATTTAAATGTTGGTTAGTTTTCACTAAAATTATACTCACAAATTTAAAGTTTCGTTATTCCGGTATAACAATAAATGAATAAATAGTACAAATCATAATACCTATTTAGTATGATTAGCAATCTCGTGGGAAAATAGTAATTGAATATTCCTTGGACACTGCCCTCTACTCTGACACTGATCAAATAGTTTCTTACTATGCATTGCTTAACTCTCCATTTTCAAAAACGTTTCTTTCTTAACAATTGTTTCAATGTTTCAACTGTCGAGCATAGTGTATCTTCATATATGTATTATAATCAAAACCTGCCCTGGGAGATTTCCTCTCACCTTTAAATTGCGCCCTCTAGAGACGAAACAGGTGTTTTGTTTTGTTTTTTGGCGAATGACTACAAATCAGTATCAACGTTAACCGATTTACGTCATGTATGTACGCGTTTTGTCACGAGGGGTACGAATAAGAGTAAGACAATTCACCATTTCCTACGATATCCTGTACATTTGAATTGCAATATCGTGGCAACATATATGCTACTTTGGATTTTAGTCTCTATCGGAGATTGTAAATGTTTGTTTTTCTCATGGTTTTTGTGGCGTTTGAGGATTATTTTATTTTTTGCGTCAGAATACATGGTTTCATTATGGTGATATATGTCACTGGTCGAATTGAATTTTGTTTATATAGTAATGTTTATATTGTCGTTAGAGTTCATTAATGCGTCAAACCAACGTTTATTTACTGGAGGAATGACTTACCTGTTAGCGGAAGACACAAGCCAATACTAGTAAAATTTGTACATTTCATGTCGTGTTACCATTGAGTCACTGACCTACGAGTACTTTTACGGGACTTTTACATTGTCATCTCATGTTGAGCGATATTGTCAGACGGGGCAGTAATGAAACCTGACCGTTGCTGGCGTGTGCCTATTATTGCAATGTATCGCATAAGTGCGGTGGTCGTCGCGCGTGTTTTGTTCGATATCGGACCAATAGCAACATATAAAACGCGTGTAAAATACATTGTTTGTATACATGAAATTCGAACACGGGTTGCTTAACGACCATAGCCCTTTAAATAATGATTAAATAGTAATATTTTACTAAAATATATTTAATTTATTTCTTTGAAAAAAATGCCTATTTGGTTTACAATACTGAATGTGTATGTAACAAAAGGCATGCCGCCAAAAGCAATCTCCTTTGAAGGCGTTCGAGAGTTAAATATACAAACTCTCTAAACAGCGTTTGAATAAATACAGTTATTGATACGCTGCCTTCAAATCACCCAAGTCCACGGAGCCAACTAGTGAACACGTGCTGTTCCCATCAACAATGGCGACGAGCGCTGAGTGGAGCACGTACCGGAAGCGGAAGTTGATAGGTGACACTTATCAACAGACTATCGTTGGGTTGAACTAAATAAAAACGAGAAAGTGTAGATATATGTGTATATTCAGTCATTGTATATGCTATCATTGAGTACGTGCCGTAGTGATGGATACCGTGTTGTTTTGTATTTGTCTGCGTGTCTCCGGTTTGTTATCACTGCACCCAGTGAACTTGAACTCCGCCACAACTCCTAAGGCTGGGTTTCAAATTGAAATTTGTCACAAAGTTTGAGGTTTTCAGCCACTGCGATCGTTTTTCCCCGACTCCGCATTTTCCGAAACGTTATCACTCTCCTCTGAATCACTGTCACTATCGTCCTCATCTGTCGTTGATTTTTCATCGCTGCGTAGTGCCTCCTCCTCATCAGGGGTTTCTACAGACCCCCTATGTTGTTCATTTTTCCCATTGCAAGTGTCATGTTTTGCGCTTACGCCATTTAAACACGTCTCGTTTTGAAGACTGGTATCGTCCTTTTTGTCCTCCGTGTTCACGCTCTGATATGCCATTTCAAGATCGTTCACTTTTTCATTTTTCTTCTCGACTTTCACATGTTTAGCATTCTTGTTCTTTTTCTTCGCATCACCATTTTGATGTGCGTGTCTGCGTCGGTTTCTTCCACGCCGACACAGGCAGCAAATTACAATGATGATCAGCATTAACGTGACAACAAATCCGATACAAGCACCGATCACAATGTACTGAAATATCGTCTTTTTTTCTTCTAATACTTCTGGTGTGCGGTGACCAAATATCATTTCTATAGTGGCGGGTGTGGACGGCGTTGCAGAGTCTATCGTTAATTCAGTGTGAGATTCTGGAACTATAACAAAAGTATAACCTATAAGAATGCGAAACAGCTGAAAATATGAAAACTTTGAAGCAAATAACATTTTGTTGGGGCTATATCTTTCTGCTTTCTGATTTTGATATTAAATAAAACTTCGAAATAGTGACACCAAAACACAAGAATGAAACTCGTCGCATGGAATAAACATAAATTGCAAAACTGCAAGATGCAAACAATTGTAATTAGAAAATATTTTAGGAAAAAATAGTTGAATTATTCAATCAAGTACCGATATCCGCGTTTCATAAAAACTCATGCCAACTATAACTTTCCTAATTGATAGGCGGTCTAATTTCGGTGAATTCGATTTATTTTCGGGGGACTAATTGCGTAAAAATTAAATTAATACGAAGAACAAATGTTTTATTTTTGCGTTGAATTCGGACTTCAATTGGTTCAACAAAAACATGCTCGTTGCTTTGCGACCCGGGACAAGGCAACCACCATATCATCCAACGAATCTGAATGCAACACACTGCTCAAACAAATAGCGCCCGCTAGCAAGTGCTTCTGTGGCGTAGGTGGGTGTAAGAGACGCCCTCAGATTTTAAGGTATGAACGACTTCACAACCAAATAAAGTTGTCTATTGATTACACCCACTGATTTTTGACGTCACTGAGGCGTTTTGTCGACAGGGGTGTGCCGTTTACTAATGTTTTAGCTATTTACTAGTACTTCACCAGAGATATCAATTAGTTCTTGCCTTTTGCAGCGCCTGTTGGAGTGTTCAAACAAGAATAAAAATGTTGATCTTTTTATGGACCACGTGAAACAAAACAATTATAAGTCAATTTTTAGCCTCACCCTCTGTACTCGGGATTATGACACTAAGCCATGCACTTGAGTATGTTATTCCATACGAGTTACCAGCCAAACACGTGTATTTACCAGCGTCCTCAACGGTAACATTTGGTAAGACGAGATAATTTGGATTGATATCCCAAGTGGAGTTGATGTCGGTCTGCAACGAAATAGATTTAGGTATATTAATTGCAAGGAAATACGTAAAGAAATTTCTCTATATATTCTACCATGCAGAGAAGCACCATCAGTGCTCAAAGTGAACGCATCAATTCGATAGGGCGCTATGACGTGTAATATAGTAGTGGTCGTAAGTTCCGCTAAGAACTTCAGTCTCATACCTTATTGAGGCACACAAACGGGGGGATTTCGTCAAATAAGTAAGCAATTATTTCAATACAAGTCCTTGGTTGATTCAGCCACTCGTACTGAAAGAGATGCACATTAATATATTCATAACAATTTATCATATGGTTATCAAGTCCCGACGTTATTTAACTCGAACAAAATGTGGCCAATCTCGACAGCGCAATGAAATAACGTAAACATCCGGGACATATTTGATTCATGTCCACGTCAAGAAAAAAATCTTGTTTAGAATATATCAGGCATTTGAGGTGACACTCCCTCCGTGGCACTCGAACGAGAATGGGGGAAGTATATTTTATACGGGTTTATACGGTATATTTTATATTTTATATGAATCCGTCTGACACTCTCAAATGAGGACCATATCAAAAAGGACACTCAGGTCATGACATATTAACCAGACGAAGACGTCTAATACCTCAACAGCTTTGAATGAATAGTCTCCGATATTGACGTCACTATTCACATGTTTCACCCATCGTAGTTTCGGGTACACTTCTTCGCCAACCACTTCACATTTAAGCACCACAGATGACCCAATGAGGGCGCTACTATTCTTCGGCATGCCTTCTCGCAAAACTGGGGGGTCGGCATTCCGTGCTGTGAATAAAAGATATATACATTTTTATTACATCATTACATCATTCGTTACGACACGAACACGTGACGCATTATTTTGGGCATAAACCACGACCCACGAATAATAAAACTACAATGGACTGGCACATTATGTTGATTTGGTACCCTAAAATTTATCCCGCCTTCAGGTTCCTGTGCCATTTGAACTGTTTATAGGCGTGAATGGCGAAATCTTAGAAACTATATGATACGTAGTACGCTATGACATAGATCATTTCATAAACTGTCTCTTCTGTGGCGGTTTATAAGGGAAGATTCCCTATTTAGCGTGGCGAGGCGAGGGGTTTCCAATTCAGTAAGATTATTCAATTCTGAACACAACACAAGACTTCTTAAGTTACCTACCCACGACGTCCAGACGGTAGCTTGCATTGATGGACCCATGTGGGTTCGAAACGATACAGGTGTATTCGCCGCTATCCAACTCCAGTAAGTCCACCAGTAT